CCCCCAGGGCGCTCTTCCCGCGCGAGGCCCTCTTCCCCCGCCAGGCCCTCTTCCCCCCCCAGGCCTTCCTCCCCCGGGGGGGCTTCCTCGCCCCCCAGGCCCTCCTCCCCCCCCAGGCCCTCCTCCCCCCCCAGGCCCTCCCTCCCCCCCCAGGCCCTCCTCCCCCCCCAGGCCCTCCTCCCCCCCCAGGCCCTCCTCCCCCCCCAGGCCCTCCTCCCCCCCCAGGCCCTCCTCCCCCCCCAGGCCCTCCTCCCCCCCCAGGCCCTCCTCCCCCCCGAGGCCCTCCTCCCCCCCCAGGCCCTCCTCCCCCCCCAGGCCCTCCTCCCCCCCCAGGCCCTCCTCCCCCCCCCAGGCCCTCCTCCCCCCCCAGGCCCTCCTCCCCCCCCAGGCCCTCCTCCCCCCCCAGGCCCTCCTCCCCCCCCAGGCCCTCCTCCCCCCCGGAGCAGCCAGCAGCACACTCACCTGGACTGGGCAAAGGAACAGGATCGCGCTCGAGTCTGCCGTCGGCCTCGCCGCGCTCGCGGCCGACGTGTCGAGCGGAGCGGTCGGAGCCGTCGGTGCGACCGCCGGCGCAGTGGGGAAGGGCGTCGTCGACGCTTCTTCGCGGCTCGCCAGCGCCGACACGGAGCCGACGCACGGCCTTGCCGCCGGCGAGAGCGACACGGCGGCGGCGGAGCTCGGCTCGCCGCTCCGGAACGTGCGCGGCCTTGCGGGGGGCGCGGTGAGCGTCGCGAGCGCCGTGAGCGCGATGGTTGCGTCCGATTTCGGCGCTGCGGCGACCGAGGCGAGAAACAGCCGCGAGACAGCCGCGATACAGCCGAGATATAGCCGAGACATAGCCGCGATATAGCCGCGATATAGCCGCGAGATAGCCGAGAGATAGCCGAGAGATAGCCGAGATACAGCCGCAACGGCGGCGTCTGACTTCGGAGCCGCGCCGACGGAGGCGACGGCGCCGTCGGCCACTGCCGCTGCTTTGACGCTCACGCGTCGGGGAAGTGTTGCGTGTGCGCGTCTCAGGTGGAAGGGTATTGTCTAGGTGGTCGGCGACGGGCTGGCGCGAGGAATGACGCGCGGGCTCAAGGAGGGGCTAAAGGAGGGGGGCGGCCAGCTGGTGGAGCGGGGCGGCGCCGTCACCGGTACAATCAGCTCGCTCGCAAAGGAGTCGGCGAGCGGTGTCCTCGACACTTCCCAGACACTCCCTAGACACTTCCTGGACACTTCCTAGGAGTCGGCGAGCGGCTTCCTCCAGCTCGCCACCGACGTTCGCGAGACGGCCGGCGCGCTGTCGCCGAGGCGGGTGCGATGGTGCAGGTGCTGCGCCTCCCCTGAACCTTCTCGGAACCTTCCGTACAGGCGCCGTCGCCGACGTCGGAACTTCCACGCTTGCGCTCGCTCGGCCGCTCGCGGCGGGCGGTGGCGGTGGCGAGGAGGGGGAGGAGGAGGGCGCGGCGGCGGAGGAGGAGTCCGGCCCGCCGCCGCCGCCCGAGCTGGCGCCGTTCGAGGCGTTGCGGCCGGCGGTCGTCTGCGGCCGGTGGCGGAAAGGGAGAGTGTGAGGTGTCGGCTTGTGGCGCGCGTAGGCTTGGCTCGACAGGCTGGGCGGCTCTGCCTCGCTCGGCGCGCTAGAGGGGCTAAGGGACGGAGCCTTACTGCGGGTGCAGCTCCCGCTCGCTGATGCACGAGACTCGGGCGCCAGTCAGTCCTCCTTCCTCAACGAATCAGCTCATCAGTGTAGGTGCAGCTCCAGCTCGCACGCCTGCCCGCCGCCTCGACGCCGCGCATCGAGGCCGCGCTCGACGCCATCGCCGTGGCGCTCGAATCGGAGGCGTCGCCGGCCGCCGCCAACGCGCCGCCGCCGCCGCCGAGTCGGGGCGGCGCGCCGCCGCCGACACGGCTGAAGGACGCATTCGCAGCAGCGCTCGCGCCGCCGGTCGCAGAGCTAGAGGATGCGGTCGGTCGGGGAGGCGGCGCGGGGGTGGCGGCGCGCGTGTGGGTAGGCGGCGCGACGCCGAGGGGCGGCCTGGCGTCTAGTAGGTGCGGCCGAGGGCGGCTTGGAGGGGGAGGAGCAGAGCTGGACGGAGGAGGAGGGTGTGGCACGGGTGCACGCCTACTCCGCGCGATGCTTCGGGCAGCTCGCCACGTGCGCGCTCGTGGTGCTGCGGAGGCTCGGACTTGCTCGGGCGAGCTCTCAATGACGACGTCCTCCTCCATCCAATGAATTCGCACTTAGGTTCGGGCTCGCGTGCCAACGCGCGCCCACGCAGACGCCGCTCGGTCTCGGGGAGGACGCGCCGGCGGAGGCGATGCTGCGCGGCGCCGACTGGCCGTTTCTGTCGCGGGCGGAGCAGGCGGATTGGCTCGCCACCTCCGTCTGCGCGGCCGCCGCCCACTTCGCTGACGCCGTCAACCGAGTCTCTGCGGCGTCGCTCGGGGCGGAGGCGGCGCGCAGCTGCTCCGCGGCATCCGACGCGGCCGCGTTCAAGCGGGCGCGCCGCGCTCTCTGCACGGCGGTGCACTTGGACGCGGGGGCGGCGCTGACGTTGGTTCACGAGGCGATCGGGATGCTGACGCCAGTGCTGCAAGAGGTCGCGCTCGGCGATGCGGCGGCAGCGCCCAATGGTGGCACGCAGAGTGCCGACGAGGGCTTGTGCTAAAGAGTGCTCTGTCAGTCCGTCCCAGTCACTTGTTTATAAATTGATTCCATGGGGGTGGAGACTGATAGGAGACTTGAAGTACAAAAGACTAAAGAGCCCCCCCCCCCCCGCGGCGGCGGCCCCCGCCCCGCCCCCCCCTGCCCCCTGCTCGTAAAATCTTGCGAAAATCTTGCGAACTTACGAGCAGGAGGACGGGCGGGCGATTTTGCGCGGTTGACGTCACCAGTATACTGTAGCTAGACTCTCTCCCCCCCGGCAGGGGCTGGCGGCTGGGGTTTTTCACAACGACACACGTGCATCGTGATTGTGTCCCAAAAGTCGTCAAGGCTGGTGGTATAGTGTGGTGGTGGAATGGGCGGGCCGCAGGGCTGGGGGGCGATTTCATTCATGAACGTATGGGCGAGTAGTAGTAGTACCGGGACAGGGACAGAAGTGGTTCCCGCTGGCGCTCACCTTACAGCGGATTGCGCGCGCGTGCGTGACTTCTACGTCGGTTCTGACTCTTGGACCGATGCCTCCACGTCCGCCGGTCCGCTGGCGGTGCCGTCACCACTCCCCTCGCTCCCAACTACTTCGAGAGGACTCGCTGTCATCTCATCGTCAAATCTCGAAAACGCAAAGTTCGTGGCGTATCGCGACGCCACCTCGTACATTGCGGCGGTCCCCTCGATGGCTCCCTCAGCCATCGCGCTCGTGGCGAAGCGGCCCGCGGCCGGGTAAAGGTCGCGCTTCCCGTTTCGCGGGCCCGAGGAGGAGAAGGACTGCCCTATCAGGCCGTGAGGGAGGGCGCGCTCCGGCGCGTTGCCCCGTGCGTTGATGGACATGTCGAGGCGATGCCTCGGTCCCGAAATCCGATCCCAGACGTAGCCACCGCGCACGGTGACAGCCCACCCACGGACCTGGAAGACGGCGGACGAGTAGCGCACCTTGATGGACAGCTCCTCGCAGTGGCGAGCGTGAGCGACCTGCACACTGAAGCTGCCAAAGTAGCCGCAGGTGCCGTTGACGAATCCGTAGCCGGTATTAAAGTCGTTCAGCGCCTGGGCCCAGAACGAGACGGTCGCCCGCTTTTGCTTCGCCCCGCCAACCAAGGCCACTAGATGCGCCTCGGTGATGAAGGAGCCGTCCACAGTCAACGCGTCCCCGCGCAGCCGGAAGGATGCGTCCTCCGTCTTGACGTTGAACGCCAGGCCGGGCGCAGACAAGAAGGCGTAGACGCGCCCGTCCCGGCCGCGAAAGTCGGCGCGCCCCCCGCGAGCAAAATTCAAGTGCGGGTCCCGACTCCCTTCACCCACCCTTTGCCGGAAGTACCCAAAGGCATCCTCATCGCTGACCGTCTTGCCGCCCTCCACGGTGACCGTCGTCGGATTGCTGCCCAACGTCTGCAAGAGCGCGGCGTTGCCCAGCGTCGACGTGTCGATGTCGATGGCCCACTCACCTCTGGGCACCGTCTGGCTGTAGGCACCGTTGGCGTCCGTCGAGAGGGTGTACAACGTGACACCATTGAAGAGAGTCACTGTCACGCCCGTCAGATACGTGTCCGGTCCGTTTGGGGTGAAGTAGTCATTTCGATCACGGTCGATGTAGACCACACCTGGGGAGGTACCGAATTGTCGCCGCCGGAGACGACTCGACGCCGCTGAGATCGGAGATCAAGCTCTGACAGGTCGCACGTCGCTCCTTTGACGCCGACGTGACGCACCCGTGCAGATCACATCAGGACACGGTCTCGACGCGCTCGGTACGACGCCTGCGACCCGTCTCGGGTCAGGTGGCACGACGCTCATCGCGCCTACCAGCGCTGCCATACAGGTTGCCACGACGAGGTCGAGCACGCTTCTATACGCTCGCCCAGCCTTCCTTTCCATCCCATTGGCGGTCAGAGGCAAAGCCTACGAGGGGTGGTGGAACCACATGTCACGGCCACCGCCGGCTCGACCCCACGATTGGACAGCCTCCGAAGGCTGACTTTGCGGCACCATCATCGGACGATGTCGACGAGTTGGGTCGCTCTCGCGGTAGCCAGATGACCTCTCATACTAGCATCATCGGCCATGGCCGCAGGGAGCGCGGGGGAGGGCGCTGGGAGCAACACGGAGCTCTCCGTTGGACGTTTTCAAGATTTAGCGCGTCGTCGCCGCGTCGGTCAGGCTCAGCCTCAGGGAGAGGGTGAAATGGAACTAGCCACAGATAGGCTTATCGTCCTCGACCCACCCGACTCCAAACTCCACCGACACCGCGACAAGGTACGAAACGCGACAAAATACGTGCGACACACCGGCCCACATCCCGGTTACACACCCTAGCTTTGGGTTGTTGCTCATCTGAGAAGAGGAGGAGGGGGGGGGGGGGGTCTCCCCGCCGCAACAGACCCCCAGCGGCGCCGCTCTACTTGCGCTCGACGTACGAGCGGCTCCCGTCGCTCGCGGTGACGCAGCGCGCGTGCTGGAGGACGAGCGCCTCGGCGCTCGAGCCGGGCGCGACGATGTCAAGCAGGTAGGGGCCGAGCTCGCGCATCGCCCAGCTCGGCTTGAGGCTCCACAGCACCGAGAAGCGCGCGGCGGCGTCGGGCGGCATCGCCTCCGCCGACAGGGCGCGCACGGTGAGCGGCGCTCCCTTGGCCGCCCTGCCGTCGGGCGGCAGCAGCACGGCGAGCCCGTCTAGGTCTGCGTCGGACGGCTCGATGCCGCGCGGCACGCCTAGAAGGTTCCTAGAAGGTTCCTAGAAGGTTCCTAGCCGGACGGCTCGATGCCGCGCGGCACGCCGTCGGCCCAAGCCTCGTCGAACGCGTCCTTTGGCCACGCCTCCGTCTCGAGGAGAAGCACGCGCGCGCGGAAGGTGCAGATGGCGCGCGGCTCCAGCGCAACCTCGTCGGAGGCGGCGGCGGCGAGCCACTCCTCCCAAGGCGCCGCCGCCGCCGTAGAGTGCGAGCGGAGGCAGTGTCGCACCGTCGCCTCGTCGAACTGCGCCGCGAGCGCCTCGACGGCGGCGGGCACGGGCACGGCGTGCAAGGGCCACTCTTGCTCGACGGCGAGGGCGAGGAGGCACTCTACGCAGTCCGCTTCGTACTGCGGATCGAGGCAGCACCACCGCCCCGCCACCTCCACCGCCCTCCAGCGCTGCAGCGCCGCGCGAAGCTCGAGGGGAGAGCACTGCGCCGCAGCCTCGAGGGAGGAGAGCGTCGGGCGCGCGTCCGGCCGGCTCGGCGCCAGCGCCTCCTCCTCCCCCACCGCAGGCTCGTCCAGCGCCTCCTCCGCCTCGCGACCGCCGTACGGGCAGGCGCAGAGGCGCCGCCGGACGTCTCCGAGCCGCGGCGCGCAGCGGACGAGCTCGAGGTGCTCGTGCGCCCGCGCCGCCACGGCCAGCGGAGGCTGGTTCTCCTCTCCGCCGCCGCCGCCGCCGCCGGGACTCCCCGCCGTGCTGCTCACCTCGACGCCGCCCCGCACGAGCAGCATCGAGTTGGACGAGTCGGCGAGGCGGACGACGTACGAGGCGTCGTGCGTCGTGAGCACCGCCTCGTCCTCCCCGCACCCCTTGATGCAGACCGACCCGCCGTCCGAGAGAAGCTCCTGCGAGTGCGGTGCGGCCGGGGTGGCGGCGAGGCGGCGCCGCCACTCGCGCGGGCGGGAGGGAGGGGGGCGGGAATGGTGAACGCCTGCAGGAGCGGCTCGTCCATCTCGATCAGCCGGTACGCAGCGTCCGAAAAGCCCTCCGCGAAGGCGAGAGTGGTCATCAAGTCCGAAGAGCGGTGCGAGGAGCGCAGCAGGCGCCCCGGCGGGAAACCAGAAGAATTCACGAATTTAACATACAAGCCTATCTCACAGCACACTGGCATGACAAGGGCGCGGACTGGCGCGGACTGGCACACACACCGGCTCACCACCGGAGCCGCCTAAGCGACTCCGTTAAGAACGGCAATGCATTCCGCACCGTGCACAATGCCGCTCTCCCCGCACGCTCTCGAGGTTCTCGAGGTGGATATCCTTTGGCCGCGTTGGGTAGCGAGGATTGGTGTAACCCGAGCCACGGAGGCGTGTTTTCTGGCGGCCGACCGTCAGTGCACGGAGTTGCCACTTCTCCGACTGCCCCGGCTAGTTCCCGAGGTCGTCGGGTGTGACCCCTTCGTCCCCCGAGACCTAGCGCGGGTGGGTTGGAGGGGGCTCGCCCCGTTCCTCCCCATCGGGCCGCGTGAGCAGCCACGCCTCGCAGATTCGTTTTCGCGCCTGGGTCAGGCGCGCGGGGCATCCCCCGGGTCGCTCGACCAGCGATCCGAAGAGTGGCCGCTATGCGAAGGAAAGAGTGGGGCCCTCGACGCCTCAGTCCGGCCCTCCGAGGGGGGAAGGGAATTGCGGGGTCCCCACGGGCGCCTCAGTTCTCGGGATCTCGGCCCTCCCGAGGGGGGGGGGGGGAGCAAGGGGGTGGGGGGATCGGGGCGGTGGGGAGGGGTCTCGGGTTTCATGTGGCTAAAACTTGCCTTTCGGGGAGGAGCCTCCGTTGGAAGGCGCGCATGCAGCCCTACGTCTTCCCCTCCTCCCCAGAGGCAGCGAGTAGGCAGCGAGAGGAGGTCTCGAGCGCCTATATGAAGGTATGTGAGATGGTGATGGGAATGGGTGGTCCGGCGGGCGGGCGGGCGGGCGGGCGGGCGGGCGGGCGGGCAAACAAGCGGGGAGCGGCGGGCGGGCGGGGCGGAGCGGGCGGGCAGGGTTATCGGGGGAATCGTGTCCACAATCAGCGGCAGCGGAGCAGCAGCCGCAGCAGCAGCTGCTGCAGCAGCAAGCAGCAGCCAGATTGCTGCCGTTGTCTGCGCCGCGATCCGCCGCCGCGCCGCCGCGCCGCCGCCGCCTGCGCTCGCCGCCGCCTCGTAGACGACTCCTCTCGCGCTCGGAGAGCCGCGCAGCGGGCCGCGAGGTTGTGGTCAGAGAGCAGCAGGGTTGAGATCCACAAAATCGGCCAAATTTGAGGTTGCTCGAGAGAGCCTGGAAATGGTCCCGCGCCGTTGCCCCGGTGCCGGCGCATCACGTCTCAGCCGCGATGGGCCGGTTCCGCCGCGCAGTCGAGCAGCAGGAGCTCGGAGGCAACTTTGTCGACAAACTGGTCGAGCCAAAAATCGGCGAAGAAGCGGCACTGGCGGCACGCCGGGACAATTCCGGACTGATCACATTGTTCGGCACCGCGGCGGCGAGCCGCCGCGAGCCCACAGGAGAGCTGGGCTCCGCGGCACCAGACCGCGCCGCCAGCGAGGCGAGAGCACCAGCCGACCGGCCGTGACATGGCAGTTAGACGGCGGGATTTTTCCCGCAGCTAGCTCGTTCACCGTCTGCCACGCCACGGCGGTGTGGAGGACGACAGACAAGCGCTGCATCTGCAGCCCGTGCCAGTTCTTGGTGGTCCATGTGACCTCGTCCAGGTGCTGAGCGTGCGAAAGTTTGTTGCTCAGCTGGTTCGCCGCCTCCCTCAGGGTGCTGCGAACCTCCTTTCCAAAGCCTCCGAAAGCCTCAAAATCAAACAAACGTAGATCGCAATCCTGCTCCCGCGCAAAGCGGTAATCAATTCAAGAACGGGCGAGAATGATTGCAAGTCCGGCGGGCTGGCGGGGCGCGGTTTGTGCGCGCTATACCATAGAGGGTGCGCGGGGCGTATGTGCACTCGGTGAGTGTGAGTCGTGTGCAGAGTCTGTATCCAGGAAGCATTGATTTCTTTTTGACCAATCGCTATATGGCAAAACACTTCTAGACTACCTGCGCTCTAAGGCAGCTCTCCATCAATGATGAGCGTGAACCCGTTGACAGTGCAGAGGAGCCCCACGATGGCGATGACGAGAGAGACGTACATGAGCTCGATGGACGAGGTCAGAATTGCCAAGCCGGGGCAGTCGGAGAAGGGGCAACTCCGTGCACTGACGGTCGGCCGTCAGAAAACACGCCTCCGTGGCTCGGGTTACACCAATCCTCGCTACCCAACGCGGCCAAAGGATATCCACCTCGAGAACCTCGAGAACCTGGAGTTGGAGCACTTGGCGCACACGGGATAATTTTTCTTTTTGCTGCCATGTCATTTGCAGACTTACACAGGAGACACAGACCATTCGTTGCGCGAAATTGCGACGAGTCGCGACCATGCTCCGTCGGCCCACGTCGACATCGTGGCTCGCCCTGCACCTCTCTATCGCGACTGCGAATGCCTGGATGCCGGCGGCTCACCAGAACCCTGCCGCCGCCATCGGCTTGCTCTCACGTCGAGCTGCTGCCTGCCACGCTCTGGTTGACCCGCTCTGCCCTTCCGAGGAGCTCTGCGCGCTGACTTCTGAGGAGCTCTTCGCGCCGTCGCCTCCTGACCGACGCACAACGTTGGGCCCAGCAGCCCGCGCCAGACGCTTCGGACAGCGCTCCGCCGTCAAGTACCGCCGCCTCATGCAGCGCAGATATCTGCTGCTCGCATCCGTGCAGGCCGCAGTCCTGCGCGGCGGCGCAGACGTCGTTGGGCGCTCCTTAATACCGGCGGAAGCCTACGCGCTTGACGTAGAGGCGACGAATGTGTATGTGCACGGCGCGGCGTTGGGCTTTGTGGCGTTCTTCGTCTCGGGAGTGGGTTGCGCTTCGTGGCAGCGGCTGCTCGAGGCGTCCGCCGGCAGCGAGACCACGCCTGAGATCATCGTCCTCAAGTGCACGGCGGACTACTTCATCTGGGCACCCATCGCCAACACTTTATACTTGGTCCTCGTGCCGCTGCTCATGGGCCAAACGCCCGCCGCCGCCTTCCAAATCATGCTCGACGGGTTTGGGGCAGTCTCCTTGCTCGAGCTCTGCATTTGGACGCCATACAACCTGCTGTCGTTCCGCTTCCTCCCCCTCGACAGCGCCCGCCCACGCAGTCCGCTCTCGCTGCGCTCTTCACGATCGGGTTGAGCTTGTACTGCTGAGGGTGAGGCGGGCTGGGCGCCTTGAGTAAGGTAAGGTAAGGTAAGGTAAACTTCTCCACACACACGAGGTGGTGGGGCAAGGGGGGGCAACCCTCGCGTCTCCACGTCTGACGACAGGAGCCCCACGGCATTCAAAGTGCAAGGCCCAGTGCGCGTGGGTGAGCGGCGGACAGCCATGAAGGTCACCGAATGGAGGGCGAACGGCACGATACGAAAAGGCAGGGCGAGGCGGATGGAGAAAGAAGTGCCGAGAAGGCCATGGTGGAGGGGAGGGACGGGAGGACGAAAGAAGGGCGAGGAGGACGAGCGGCCCGCACAGACCGCGAGCAGACAGCGCCTGCTGGCCATTTCGAGACATTCGCAAAGAACGCTAGCTACATGGGAGGGCTTCGTGAAGGATGGATTGAAAAACATTCGAACAAAGAAGAGGCGACGGGAGGAACCGGCGGAGGATGCAGTGACGTGACACACACACACACACACACACACACACACACACACACAACACACACACACACACACACACACACACACACGCCTTGAGTACTGGGGCCTGCAGAGTACTGAGTTCTGGCTGGCAACTTGGACAAATAAATAAATACACGCGTAACTCTATTATCTCCATGAGAGATGGTCATTTTTGTACTCACGTCGCTTGTTTTCCCTGGTGTGGCAGTCCCGTGCCCAGTGTCGCTCAGCGCAAATTCTTTTCGAGCTAGCGTGCGGGGAGAGCGGCATTGTGCACGGAGCTAAGTGCATTGCCGTTCTTAACGGAGTCGCTTAGGCGGCTCCGGTGGTTTGCCTGTGATAGTGCAAGCACGCGCCAGTTCGCACCTTGAGCCTGTCTGCTGTGAGAGGGAGTCGTTTGTTCGCTGGAAAGTCGTAAAATTCTCGCCGCACAAAATTCTTTTTTAGCGTGAGTAAAATAAATAAATACAACGGACATCCCAAGCTAGGGCTGGGTCGAGGACAGACACGTCCCCACCTTTGCAGGATTTTGCAAAAGCGAGGGGGGAGGGCGCATCGCCGCGCGGAGAGGGCTGGGCACAGGGCACAGGGGATCTCTCTTTAGCGTGAGGTAGGTAGGTAGAAAGGTGAAGAACAGCCAGGCTCGGACTGGACACCAACGCGGTATGGGTGGACGCTAGACAGATGATGACGACACGCACGAGCGACACACAGACACAAACAAGCTCACAAGACACACAGCCAGCGGGCTGCCACACACCCTGAGTCGGCTTACACAGCGTGAGTCTGAGTACAAACTCTTCTCCCAAATTCTTTTTTAGCAGTGTTGTGCGAGGGAGTTTTGTTGTAAGATTCTTTTTTAGCGATCGCCCCATTTTCGTCGGCGGCCGGCTCCATAACACATCAACCTCATGAAGGCCGGCAAAGGACTCTCAAAGAGCCTCTCTGAGCCGCTGCTCGACCCGGCAGCGCCTCCGGGCGCCACCCGACGCCGCAGGCTTCAGCTCACCCGCGGCGCGCACGAGTTCCTCCTCGTCAGCGCTGGGCTCGGCTTGGGCTGGCTGGCTGCAGTTTGCCAAGACATCCCGCACGCGAGAAGCGTCGCGGTCTTCGCTGCCGCGGTCCTAGCTGCGCTGCTCGCCCGGCAGCGCTGGTCCCGACGCGCCATCGCGCCGTCCCACCCGCTCGCTCGACTGGCCGACGCGCCGAGCCGGGAGCTGGTCTTCAGCCTCAACGGGCGGGAGCGGCGACTCGTCGACCCGCCTCCCTCCCTCACCCTCGCCGAGTGGCTCCGCTCCGAGGGCCTCACCGGCACCAAGATTGGGTGCGCCGAGGGCGGCTGCGGCGCGTGCACGGTGCCGTCGGCCGCCCTTTGGGGGTGGAACTGCCGCCGGCCACCCCTCGCCTGAGTGTGGTGGGAGAAGTAGGTGATCGCCGTCGGGTCGGACGGCCACCCGCGGGCGATCAACGCGTGCCTCCGCCTCCTCTGCGGCTGCGACGGGCTCGCGCTCACGACTGTCGAGGGGCTCGGCTCGCAAGGCGCCGGGTACTCGCAGGTGATGAAGGCGATCGCCGAGGGGCAAGGCAGCCAGTGCGGCTTCTGCACGCCCGGCTGGGTGACTGCCATGTCGGCGCTGCTGGGCGGGGCGGCGGCGCGCGGCGCGGCGCACCTCACTGCCAAGGAGATCGAGGAGAGCCTGGATGGAAACCTCTGCCGCTGCACCGGCTACCGGCCCATCCTCCAGGCCCCGCCCCCTCCCCCTCTCACCCTCACCCTCACCCTCACCCTCACCCTCACCCCTCACCCTCACCCTCACCCTCACCCCTCACCCCTCGCCCCTAACCCTAATCCTCACCCTCACCCTCACCCTAACCTAACCGTCACCCTAACTTAACCCTCACCCTCACCCTCGTCCCAGAGGACCGCGAGAACGCCTTGACAGCACGTCACACACCGTGACGGCAGTCACTCCCTCGTACTGCAGGCATTCAAGCGCGCCTTTGCCCACGACGACTCTTCCGGCATATCCGACCTCGAGACGTGCGCGCCGTGCCACGACGTCGCCACGGGCAAGCCGTGCGGCCGCCGGTGCGAACCTTCTCGGAGGTGTCTCGGAGGTGTCTCGGAAGGGCCATAGCCACGCCGTCCGGTCCGAAGGTGCGACGCGGCGCTGCAGGCGTCCTCTCTCTCAAACGGCGAGGCGGGCCGGAGGGCGGCGGCGAGGCGCGAGTGCGACAGGGCGCTGCGGCTGGTCTCGCCGACGGCGGCGGTCGCGGCGCGCGCGCGGGCGCCCGTCTCTCTGCGGTATGAAGACGAGGGCAGCGGGGCTGAGCTACTCGCGGCCAGCCTCCGAGACACCTCCGAGACACTTCCGAGACACTTCCCTCAGGCAGCGGGCTGAGCTACTCGCGGCCAGCCTCGCTCGAGGGTCTGGTCGAGCTGCTGCGGCGCGAGCTCTCCGCCTACCTCAACCAGTCACTTCAGAGGAAGCTTGTTGGCTAATTAGGTCGAGCTGCTGCGGCGCGAGCCGGCCGCGCTGCTGCATTGCGGGAACACGGGCATGGGGGTCGGAAAGTACTACACTCCCCGCGGCCCGACGGCGGGCGGGCTGCCGCCGCAAGCAAACGCCGCGCTGGTCGACGTGAGCGGCGTGCCGGAGCTGGCAGCGGCGCCCGCGTTCCACCCTGCCAGCGGGGAGCTCTCTGCCGGCGCCGCGCAGACGCTCGAGGCTCTCCGCAGCGCTCTCGCCGCGGCGGCCGAGGCCCCTCTCTCGGACGGGAGGGGAGGGGGGCCGCCCTGGGCCTCCGAGCAGCGCGGAGGCGCCGCCGCACCCGCCGCCGCAGCCCTCGCCCGCCATCTCGGCCGCGTGGCGACGACTCAGGTGCGCGCAGAGGGCTCGTGGGCGGCCAGCCTCCGAGACACCTCCGAGGCACTTCCGAGACACTTCCGAGACACTTCCGAGACATTTCCGAGACACCTCCGAGGCACTTCCGAGGCACTTCCGAGACAACTTCCGAGGCACTTCCGAGACACTTCCGAGGCACTTCCGAGACACTTCCGAGGCACTTCCGAGACACCTCCGAGGCACTTCCGAG